GAGGAGGAGGAGGAGGAGGAGGAGGAGAAGAATCAACAATTGGATCTCATCTTTTTAAAAAGCTTCTACACTGCCAGAGAGAAATCACAAGACAGCTACGAGACAACCCACAATGTGGGAAAAAATTTTTACCAGTTGTTCCTCAAAGGTCTACTATCTAGAATATATAAAGAACTCAAGAGCCACGGATTTGGCTCCGTGGTTCTGCTGCTTGCCTCGCAATTGCAAGGGCTGCAGTTTGATCCCTGGTACCAAAAACAAACAAACAAACAGACCCATCCCCCAAATATAAAGACCCAATTCAAAAATGGGCATCTGAAATGAACAGGCATTTCTCAAAGAAGTAAAAGCAGCAAATAAACACATGAAAAAATATTCAACATCACTGGTCATTCAAGAGATGCAGATGAAAACAACGCTGAGATTCCACCTCACCCCACAAAAATCGCTGCTATCAAGAAATCAACCAATAACAAATACTGGCAGGGTTGTGGGGAGAAAGTAACCCTTCTCCATTGTTGGTGGGAGTGCAGACTAGTGCAAGCACTGTGGAAATCAATATGGAGACACCTCAAAGAACTAGGATTAGAAGTCCCATTCGGCCCAGCCATCCCTCTGCTGGGTATCTTCCCAAAAGAATGAAAAGAATCATACCACAGCAATATATGTGCACCCATGTTTATAGCAGCACAGTTTGGAATAGCTAAAATTTGGAAACAGCCCAACTGCCCATGAACTGGAGACTGGATAAAGATGTAGTTTTTCAATAAAATGGAGTACTACTCAGCCATAAAGAACGAGAAACTAGAGATATTTATAGCAAAGTGGATGCACGTTGAGGCCACACTCCTTAAGTGAAATTAATAAATCACATGTGTAAATACCGAATAGTCTCTCTGGTGTGAAAAACAAAGTATAAATAAGGATCAAAATGTATAATTGGTATTGTGTAATAGAGGAAGAAAAGGTCTAAAAGAATAGAAGTGGGAGAGATAAGGAAAAGGAAAGAAGGGAAAAGAAAAAATATGTGAAAAGGAAAAACATGGAAACAAAGTCTTTGTAAACAAGAAAGGGTGGAGGGGTGAAGAGATGGCTGGGGAATGGGGAAAAATAAGAACCAAGATAAGTCATGTGAAGGTACAAGATCCCGATGATGAATGTAACTGTATTACATACCTAAAATGTACCAATAAACCTGATAAAGATAAGAAGAAAAGAAAACTGCACCTGGGCCAGGGATTTACCTCAGTAGCACTGCGCTTGCCTCGTAGGTGCAAGGTCCTGAGTTTCATACCCAGTGTGTGAGTACGGGGGGGGGGGTTGCTCACTGGACAGGGACTGCAAATAATCTAAAACTGAAAAATAAGCTGAACACAGAAGCAAACACCAGAAAAACAGCTGGAGCTGGACAGGGAGACCATGTTCTAGTGGCGCTACACAGCAACATGCCTAGCTAGGAACCCAGGGTTACTTCACTATCATCAACAGCCAGGGAAGAGGCCGGGAAGTGCTGCCCTCCGAACCTGAACCAGCATGTGGCAGATGTCCACGTGGCCAGCCTCCGCTGCAGCATGTAGTGGGGAGCGCTTATTCTGGTGCTCCATTTTGAAGTTGGGGTCGATTCCATCCACTGTGAACAAACACGGTTTTACTAATTGTGTCAGGTGTACATTAATGCTCACAGTGGCTGGCAGTGCCTACAGTTGGCCACCTTCAAGATAAGCAGGCAGCTCTAGAGGCATGCCAGAACCTACCACATCACCATACCTGTCTGGTGGACAAACCAGGCCCCCCTTAGATTCACGAGATAATACACACTTGACCCTTTGTGGCCCTTTCTGAAGGTCCTCGAGTGCTTCTGATCACTGCCTCCCCCAGGCCTATGAGGACACTGACAAGGGTCAGCCAAGCTCCGAGGACAGATACACCTGGGGAGCAGGGCACCTATACAAGCCCCTTGGGTGTACGTTTGGACATTTAGCTAGGAGATCAACCACACAGTGGTGATGTGGTTTAACACTGTATGAAAATACGTGAAGTTGTTGCTTTGATCAAAATTAAATAAAGCTCTTTTTAAAGCAAACCTTAGTTTCTTTCATGGCTTGCTGTCTGACAACAGGCTCTTCTATCACATTTTTCAACCCCAAACAGATAAAATTTCAAAGGGATCAAGCCCAGGCTAAGTGTGACTTCAGGTCATCTCCCTGGGCTGCCAAAAGCACAAAGCTGGGAGGGTCCATCTGTTAGGAAGCACAGGGCAGGAACACACCCAGGACCGCTGCCGCACAATGTGCTACCCATCAGCACACAGGGCCAGCCCCCTCATCACCACATGTCACAACTGCACCCGACACACTAATGCCCTTTCTCAGTTCTGCTTCTGCTTGACTTATAATTACCTACCTAATTCCTTTTTTAAAACTAAGAATGCACAGAGAGTAATCCTAGTGCCACAAGAAAGTAAACGTGAGCATAGTAAACAGGCAGAACACTAGTGGACACCTATTTTCACTATCAGAGGAACCAGAGACTTCTGAAAAGAAAATATAAGATCAGGCTCGTGAGAAGGGGGCAACCGTGGATGTTCTGCCCCTTCTTGCCACAGACTCACCCAGCATCAGGAGCACCTTCTGCAGCTCACCCTGTCTGGCTGAAAAGTACAGCTGCTTCGGGTGGAAGCGAAGCTTCTTGGGTCTGTGGGGAAGCAGAGAACAGCAGTCAGCATGGGCCTAGGTCAAGCCGCACACCGCTGGGGAACTGAAGGTGCTGGGCAAGGGACCCCTGCCAGTTCCTCCAGTCAAGTGCACCATACCCACCAGCCCTGAGCGCCTCAGTGAATAAAGCCAGCCCTGTCTTCTTTGCCACAGCATGAGAATGCTGCATGAGGCCACCTCATGATATGACAACAGGACTCAAAGCACACAAAGAGTCACTGCTGTGTAGGCCAAGGAAGGCCCAAGGAGCCATTGACCCACACTTAGCTGCACATGCAGCTCAGTCTCACATGGGTCCCAGCGCTGTCACTGAGCTGCACAGCCAGCCTCCAGCAGTGAGGAAGTTCTTGGGCAGAGTGGAGATGCTGCACATCTGCTCTGAAACCTTAATAACAAACGTGACAACCAGGAGATGGCCATCGGATAGACAGAACAATCTTACAGAATAGGCTCAGAGATCAGGCTGGAGAGAGACAACAGAAAGCCATAGGAAGAGGCTACCCAGGACCAGGAAGGTCCAGCACAGGAGAGTTAGCAACACCAGGATGTTTTATTAGGCAGAAGAGTACACATGTCATTCTTTCCCTAGAAGAGAGTGGGCTTGGTACAATGGTCCCATCAGCCTTACTAAGGCAGATGAGGCTGCCCTGGGATGGGAAGACAAGGATGCCCAAGCAGGCCCAAGGCTGCAGGGATCCCTCCTCCACCCTCACATGGCAGTGTCAGCATCAGGGTCTGTGGGTGGATTAGCCAGGCATGTCCACAAAGCTCTCATGACTTTTCCAACTCAGCATGACAAAGAGGACCAAAGCTTACAATTATCTCCCCAGTGTAAAGATTTATTCTGACCAACAGTGTTATTCCAAAGATGAAATGCACACATGACTCCAGGGCAGAACACAGGCCTTGAGCTACCTCTGAAACACAGACTAGCTCTTACTTTTCTGAGTCCAGAGCGATCAGAGCACTCTCCAAGGTTTCCTTCCCGGGTCCCTGGGAAAGGCCAGAGGTCTGCCTCACGAGCCCAGCCGACCCTGTGCCATCAAAGCCCTCCGGCACCTGGGGAGCTGTGCTCTGCAGCTTGTCATCCTCAGAAAGCGGGGTTGCAGCAGTGCTTAAGGGTAAAAAAAAAATCATTGAAATGTTGAGCTATGGCATTTGAAAAAGCTCCGTTCTCATGGAGATCAAGAAAACAGTATAACCTGCTTCAACCCATCCCTGCCAGTAGCTTAAGGGTAGACAATGGATAGACAACTGACCACAAGCTGGGACCCAGGTGAGGCGCCCAGAGTACCGAAGCCTGTTCCCTGAGAACTGCGACCTTTAAAGCCATGGCAACACTCCCAGGACTCCTGGTCACACAATCAAACCTGCTTTTATGACCAAATTTTCAGTCACACCTGTACTGCCCACTGACCTTCCAGCAGAAGGAAACCCACAGCTCTGTGACTTAGACACACTGAGTTCACTGATTATAGTGAAGGGATCAATAGCATTTCAGTATTTTTCCCCCTCATAAAAGGGACTGAACTCCCCATTTGGGAGGCAGGCAGGCGGGGTGCCACTAAGCTAAATCCCTGGCCCTCCAGTCCTTAGTTTTAAGGTCTTTACAGTCACAGTTCTTTAAATGACCTTTACTCTAGTTTTAGTTTCTTTTCTATCACTGTGATAGTTACTATGTTGGTCTTCTCTTCTCTGCTGAGTAGCTTGTAGGGTGTGCTGCCATTCTGAAAGGCTTTCTTCTTCATCTCCTTCCTAGCAGGCCCTGGTTGGTAGATGCTGACTGCTGTGTTTCTCCTATTCTCTTGCTGACCTAGCAGCTCTAAATTTTCAGCTGCTTCTGCTAGATTCTCTCAGAAAGGCAATTACATGTATATATGTGAGTGCTTCTAACTCTTTTGGACTGCACTTCCTGCCCTCAGCAATGGCCTGGGACCTTACTGCCAAGAGCGCTGTAGGAAAACCCTGAAGCAGCTGACAGGTACATCTGTGCAATAGCCACCTATGCTGACTGGGCTACTGATAAATATTATAATGCCACGCCAATTAGGCTGGTGTGAAAATTGGCTCAAAACAGGCAAATGAACCTGCAAAATCAAATTGAGAGGGACCCACATATGAACGGCAATAAATGAATAGCAGTGTTTCCATGTGTATGCACATGCACACAAGTGCACATGTGTCTGTGATACTGGGGACTGACTAGGGCCTTCGCTTCAAGTTACATCCCCAGCCCTTTTTATTTTTTCTTGGGCGACAGAGTCTTGCTAAGTTGGCCAGGCTGGGCTCAAATTTCAACCCTTCTGCATCTCCTTCACAAGCATCTAGGGTTACAGATGTGTGCCACCACGCCCAGCTAGTGTTTAGTAAATGTCAGAAATCATAAGCATCAGAGTTAGCTGAGACTTCTGGATAAAGCAGCAGAAACCAGTCACAATTACAGATGATACATCCTCAGAGACACCAGTGGAAGCTCAGCCAAAACTGCATCAGCAGGTACCTGCCAGTGGTTGTGTCGGCCCTGCCTTCGGCAACCAAGCTCTTCTCCTGTTCAGGGGCAGGCATCACCGTGGAGGTGGTGTCTGCCTTTGCTATGGTCACCTCTTTTGCCTTGGAGGTGTCCTCCCCGCAGTGGGGACAGTAGCTGGCATTGTTGACTCGAGAGGCACAGTCCTTGTGGAAACGATGAGAGATGCTGCTCTCAGGCTGACATTCCATGAAATTACCCTGGAAATAGGAAGGCAAAGATTGTGTTCAAAAACTAGGGCTGATATTCAGAAAAATAATGCTTGACTGAGCCTGTTGAGCCAAGCAAGTGAGTGAGCACTCAGGCAAGGCCTGGTGCTGGCCCAGTTCCCAGCTGGCAAGGAGTAAGAATGGTGTCTGCAAAGAGCTCCCTCAGCCCTGCAGGTTCCAGAGAGCAGAGGCCAGCAGCAACCACCTCACTGTCCACCTAGCACCCATGACCAAGAAGACTGAGTCCTCACTGTCTGGCCACTCAAATGGAGCAAGAAGCTGCACAAGAAGCACTAGTCCACATAAGGACCACTGGGTGGGACCCTGTTCCACAGAACTGATGGGTCAGACAGGACAAGTCTTGAATCAAGGGGTGAAGGGCTTGTTCCTTGCATTTGAGTGAACACAGGCAGATGAGCACCAGACAACAGCTAGAGATGAGACGCAGAAAAGTACCTCTCTTTCTCATGGGAAGCACAAAAAAGGTGTCTGGAGAGAGGGGAAGGCACAAGGTGTGAAACTCAAAGACAAGCCCCTGATGGAAGCTCCTGGCCCAGGTCACAAAGGGACTACAGGGTGTCTGTAGGCGCCTGTGGCTGTGGTGAAGGATAGTACAGAGCCTTACTTGGGCTCCACAGAAGAAGCCTGTTGCAGGAGTGCGCAATGTCTGACTGAGTTTAGAGCTGTGCCCCTCCTCTGCACTCAGATAAAAAGGGGCTCACAGGTACTGCCAGGGGAGCCAAGGGCACCCCAGCCACACAGGAGGAGCTGGCTTGGGAAGCTCAGGGAACCTCCTCACATGGGGCCCAGGCCTAGGATGAACTGCCTGTCAGTTTGGGCCTCTGTAGAGGACACAGGCCCAAAAGGCCCATAGCGGCTGGGCTCTTACCGCTGTGCAGAAGTAGCCGCAGCCAGGACAGCACTGGTGTTTCACCATGCGGCCCCGATGGTCCTCACACAGCACCAAGAGAGGCGCCTTGTTGGACGGGCGCATCAGCTCGTACTTGACCACGCTGTTTGTGCACCGGCCCAACTGTAATCAGACAAGACCAGGGTCAGTGACAGAGCCATGAGGGCATAGCTTTCCGACCCACGGGCCCTGGGACGTGCCCAACATGGGGAGGTGCCCAACAACGAGCCTGGACTTGAGAGAGTTCAGAGCACCTGACGTACACCAGCCAGCACCAAGAACCCAAAGAGGAGTTCACTGTCTTCTGCACCCCTATGGAAGAAGGCAGCCAGGTGACCACATTCAGAGGACCAGAGGCTTAACCTGGGCAGAAATGGAGGACGGCATCAGGGAGACAGGAAGGCTGGGCTGGGTGTCAAAGAACAATGGCTATATACCAGGCAGGACAGCCCAAGCCACCAAAGAGAGCCAAGGGGACAGCAAAGGAAGCCCCCAAGTACTCCAGGGCAGCTGGTGCACACAGGATCCCAGTAAAGATGCAGAAAACAGAAAAGAGCAGTCTCCAGGTCTGCTGGAAGTCCTGAGAAGACCAGGATTTGAGGAGAGTCATGGTGGAAGCAGAGGCTGTTTCAGGGTGAAGACCTCTGAGATGTGATTACATAGCTCAGCATGCTGGCCAAAGGAGATACTGTATAGGCAAAGGGTCTTTGTTCACTGTGTAAAGCCATCTGACATCCAGCGAGAAAACAAATAGTAGCATATCAGGAAAAAGCAAAGAATTAAGTGGGAATTCACAAAAGAACTGTTACAAATGCCCCCTAAACAAATAACTAAATGCTTGAACTTCCTGGCAATCAAAGAAATGTAATATAACCAGCCTCCAGGACTCTTCTATTCTGCTGCGCAAACAACCACTTTTAGTTAGGCCTGCGAGTGCAGGCTGTGGCTTATGGTGTCTTGACTGGTGTATATGACCTGCCAGACCAACAAGGGGCTTTACCAACATCCACACAGACCGTGTTAGAATCATCCAGAAAGTTTTCTGCTTATTTTTTTAAAAAACAAATTGGACATCATCCTATTATCTACACAACAAAAACAGGAAGGGGAAAAAGGCAGCCATGTACGTCCAAAGGAAGTATACTATAGGGAACAGGGAAAAGGGTGTTCCTAGAACCTCTCCAGTGAGGCCCAGTATCCTGCAAGCCGAGACAGCACAAGGTGAATTAACTTACTAGACAGAAAAGACAGAAAAATGAGACTTAGAGAAGAAGCTGAGCTTTGGCCTGATCAATGCTGCTCTGGGCAGCAAAGACAAAAGCTCCTGAACTTGCCACACCTTTATTCAGAACATCACGACAAACAAATATAACAGATGACTCAGGGCAGAGTTCAGTACAGGGAGAGCAATAAATGTAAAAGCTCACTCAGGGCACAGCAGTGGCAGCAGCAGCAAAAATCCTAGAACAATGAAGAACTACGCAGATGAAGACTGTGCTCCTCCCAGGATGTCTTTGGCTGGTGTAATCTTGTCCTGGAACATCACAGCATCACTGGACCACTGAGGTTTCAGCTGTGACCGCAGGCCAAAATGGAGTTATAGATAGGAGAACTAGGCCTAATCATTTTAATTGTGAAACAATTTCCCCCCAATATTATGTAAAATTGCTCCTAATAGTATACCCTCTCCCCAACATGACCAAGTGGCTCTGCTCTGCACCCTTGGTCAAGACCTGTGGATGTAGATCATTTATGGTTACTGATTTATAAAAATGTTTATAATAGATTATGGTAAAAAAGCAAATTATCTGAAACAAGACATATCCTGGGGTACATTAACAGAAAAGTCTGGAAATATGTGCAAAAATACGACAACCAGTTACTTCAATGTTAAGAATAGGAGGCAATTTATATTTCCTTCTTTAGCCATGCCTTTAGTGTCTGAATTTTACAATGAGTACGCATTATTTATATAACCATAAAACATGATTAAGATGCATGATTTTGTCTAACTGGGATGGGAAAGGAGAGCTGAGGGTTAGAGGTTGCAGCAGAATGGCAGAGCACAGGAAGGTGATGTTTTAGAGAACTTCAACTAAGTAACAATGAAATCCAGTTAAGGTTGAAAATGAGAGAAAACAGAAACAACTAATGAACAAGGGGGACAAACATCTCAGCACCCACAGCAGCCCCAAAGAAATTTCACCAGGAGAACACGGAGCAGAGGAGGAGTTTGAAGGACCACATAGGAGAGGAGTCACACACATCCTCACAAGGCAGGAAGCAAGTGGACTTACAGGGCCTGCTGGTAAAATACTGGCCTAACCTAGTCAGGGACCACGTGGAGGACCTGGCAGGCAGAAGAGCTGGTGCTTCTTGTGGAGGGAGAGGAAGGGCTGGCTTGTGAGGAGTGGTCTAGGTAGGGCCTCCAACACGTTCATCATTACAAAGGACTTCCTACCAGCTTTACAGTGTGTTTTATTAAACAGCCTAATAAGAAAATTTCCCAAGAACAGAGATAAAATACAGTGAAGCTCCATGAGCCCACACGTAATCCCAATTTCAAAAATGACCAATATTCTCCATTTTCATTTGTGCTGTCCTCCATAACCTTTTTATTAGAGAGAAATGGGCTGGTGTATTTATGGGAATCATATTATTTTTACCCATAAATAATTCAGAGTGTATTGCTAGCATAACCCTCAGACCATTCTCATACTCAACAAAAGCAATAATTCCTCAGAGCACCTAATACCCAGAGCACAAAGATTCTCTGCTTTACTTTACTAGGAAACAAACATGCTCAGCATACAACACCTGGCCAGCCTCTTGTCATCTGCAGAGCCCCCACTCTTTTTGGTTTAGATCTAAAACGTCCCCCCAAAGTATCATGTATGTAGGTTATGTGATTACGGAGGTGCTAGACTAGACACGTGCATAGATAAGTTCAGTGGTTCCAGTGTTGTTAGGAGGTGAGGTCTGGTGGGAGGGGTAGCTCAATGGTGTTCTTGTTGCTGGCTTCTCTCTTCCTATCTGTTTCCTGGATGCCATGAACTGAGTGGCCTTCCTCCACTAGACCCTTCCACCATGCTGTTTCTGCCTTGGAGCCAGCCAATTATGGACTACAATTTCTGAAACTGTGAGTGAAAAGAAATCTCTCTTAAGTTGCAAATGTTAGGTATTTTGCCTCAGGGATAGGAAAGTGACTAAGGCAGAAAATTAGCAGTAGGAATGGGGTCACTGCTGTGACTGTACTTGATCATATTGTTCAGAAGCCTCTGGAACTGGTTTGTACGATGAGTTTGGAAGTTTGAAGGCGGCTACTAGAACATTGTGAGCCCTAAAACATTGGTATATGATGCTGGTGGGTGCTCTGAAGATCAAAATGCTAATAAAAATGCAAACAGTAAAGGTGAGGCTTATGAGGTTTGCCAGGAATGAGGATTCTACCAGAAACTGGACTATAAGACATGTGGGTGTTTCATTTTGGCAAGTAATTTGTTTTGTCCATGTCCTAAGACTTTGGGTAAGGCTGAATTAAAAGGCCTTGCTTGCTCCCTCTTTACTTCAGAAGAGCATCTGATCTGCCTGTCCAAAGGCCTGTAATTCATATGTAATCAAGAGGCATTCTGATGCTTCAATCAGTCTGATATTTTCTGTTACATATCCTTCCTTGGCCCTCCTGTGACCAAATTTATACAGAAGCCCAGATATCTAAACAAGTTCTCCCACAGAACACTATTAGAAATAGGGCAGCTCCCCTTCTAGTCCCCTTTTGTTTTTGGTCCCGGGGATCGAACTCGGGTCCTTGCACTTGCGAGGGAGGCCACCGGACCGCTGAGCTAAATCCCGGGTCCTTTAGTCCCCTTCTTAACGAGAGCGGGGGTCCTCACTGGGATGGCAATGGGGACAGTGGGCATTGCTACATCCACATATTTCTAGCAGGCTCTGTCCATGTAGATTTCCGAAGACATGGACAAAATAAGCTAGACCTTAAATACAGTACAACAAGATCAAATAAATTCTCTAGCAGCAAGCCATGTAACAAAACAGAAGGGCCCTTGACATGCTGACAGTGGCCCAAGGGGGAACGTGCCAGGTGCTAGATGATGAATGCTGTTGTTTTGTTAACCATTCAGGGATTGTTAAAGCAAAGGTTAAAGAATTACAGAGGCGCACTGAAGAGCAAAAGAGATGATAGAATTATAGGGGAACAGACCAAAGCTATTTCTGGCTCCCTCAAATTATGTCTTGGCTAATTCCCTTGTTGGGCCCACTGGCATGTATATGTCTTTTACTCACGATAGGGCCTGGTCTGTTTTGCTGTTTTCAAAAATTTCTTGCAGGAAAGCATGAGGGCATTTACCAACCAGCCAGTCACAGAACTCATCATGGAAGGGTATCAGCCACTGCGGCAGAGGGAAGAAGCCCCCTCCAGATCCAGGTTTAGCCTCAACCATCGCCCCTTTGTCAGTTTGAAGAGCTCCAGAGGAAGAGACCTTCGCCCAACAAGCATAAAACAAAAGCCTGGAATGTTAGATTTCCCTCGCCTTAAAATGGCCCTAACCAGTGATGACACAAGCCCCTCCTAGTGATGCCACAAGCTCCCCCAATCCCTAGCTACTACATCACTCAATCCCACCCCAATTCCTATAAGCCCCACTCCAGTCCTATAAAAGAAGCTCCCTGTTTTGCCTTGAGGCTTTCTCTCCTTTGTTCTGAAACAGCCCCTGGCAGATCCTCCCCATAATAGAGGCTTGTTAAAATTCTGGTTAAAAAAAAAAAAAAGCAGGGATTAACTAATGTGGCCAAGGAAAGATCAGGTAGCTCAATGTTCAGGGTGTGGCATGCGTACTGCTGGTTACTTTTAGCCAGATTCACAATGAGAAAAGAGTACAGCCTAAAAGGTATAAAAAATTGTGTGGTACCAAAACAAACAAACAAACCACCTATGAATTTGGGAGACAAAGCTACTGAAAAATTAGCATTACAAAGAAGCCAAATACTTAATATCAGGATACTAGAAAAAAATGCCCCCATCTGGGCAGGGGGGGCATATTCTTACCCACTGCAGACTCAAGGGACCAAAGCAGTAAATTCGTTTCAAAGAGATTGAAGTGAGC